AATCAGATTAATATTCATTTAATTTTGTTTTTTACTTATGAAAATTTTAATAGATTTTCAATATTATACGTTCATTATATTTATTGTATTATAAAATATTATTGTGCTAAGATTCCCTAGAGTAGGTATTATTTGTAGGTGAAGGATTACTATTTTTAGAATTCTTTAGTACTATACATATTTCAATATGTAATTATGCGTTAGAATCTGTGTAGTCAATATTGGATTCAAAAATTGTAATCTTTTATTTTTACATGTGGTTTAATTTATATTTAAATATGTTTATTAATATATATGCAATATATAAATATATTTTTTTTTCTTTAAACTGATTAAAAACACAACATATTTTTTTAATATATTTATTTAAGATATTTTCTTAGATTATGGCTCCACCAACATACAGTGACTTGGGAAAAAGTGCTAGAGATGTGTTTGGCCAAGGATATCATTTTAGTCTAATTAAATTAGATGTTAAAACAAAGACTAGCTCTGGTGTAGAGTTTTCTAGTGGTGGGATATCTAATCAGGACACTGGAAAGGTATTTGGTACCTTGGAAACCAAGTACAAAATCAGTGATTATGGATTAACATTTAGCGAGAAATGGAACACTGATAACACACTTGCTACTGATGTTACTCTTGCTGATAAATTACTCAAAGGTCTTACCCTTGGTTATAGCTGCACTTTCTCTCCACAAACAGGGTAAAATGTTAATAATCATTAACCTTGTTTAAAATAAATATATACTTTAATCATTTTTAACATTGAATATACTGCAACCACTCAAATGACTGATTTAAAAATTTGATTAAAAATTGTCTGTTCTTCTTCATTCATTTAACTTCCAATTATTTAGTTTTTCAATTTTACTCTTTCCTTCTGTTTTCATTTTTAATAAGAAAAATTTATCATCTAACTTGTTCACCTTTATTTTATAACCAGTTATTTATCTGGTTACAGTAGGAATAAGTATGTACATAGTGTTGGTACATTTAGTATTAATGAAAAAATATAATTCCAATATTGTAGGACAAAAACTGGTAAATTAAAGACGTCTTATGCTCATGAAAATGTATCAGCAAATGCTGATTTTGATCTTAGCCTTTCTGCTGGTCCTTTGATCAATGCGTCAGCAGTTGTAGGATATCAAGGTAAGACGAATGTATAATCTGTTTTTACAGATACTCTTTATTAATAATACTAAACTTGAATTTGGGAAATATTTTTATTATTTAGATATTTAATATTTTTCATACACTTGCTGCTATGCGATTCCTTATAATCCCAATTGAGCGTCTCCTTCTTTTAATCCTAATGTCCAAGATATTCCAGAAAAAAGAATGTAAGACAATAGTATTAATGAAGATAAATGAACGAAATTTTGAGTTACAAAGTACTCTGATTTCATTACAGGATGGCTTGCTGGTTACCAGGCCAGTTTTGATACACAAAGAAATAAACTTACGAAAAACAATTTCGCACTTGGTTTTACTGCTTCTGATTTTGCTCTTCACACAGCAGTGTATGTATAAATTCGAAGATTTATAAAAACCGTAACACATGTTTTAAGTATTTCGTTATTTTAAATTATTGTTCTATTTTATTAGAGATAACGGCCGTGAGTTCAGTGGTTCCATTTACCATAAGGTGAAACCAGATTTGCAAGGAGCAATCAATCTTGCTTGGAATTCTAGCAACAACGTTACACAATTTGGAATTGGTACAAAGTATGATCTTGACAAAGATGCAAGTGTTAGAGCCAAAATCAATTCACATCTTCAAGTAGGTTTGGGATATCAACAAAAACTACGTGATGGTAAGTTAAATTTCACTTTATAAAAGATTTATAATACATTTCATAAAATTATGATGTATACTTATGTTATGGTGTTGTTATATACTATTTTGTAGTAACAACTATACATGTTTTTTAATTAATTTTTAAAATATACCTGTTTTTTTCATGAATCAATTGAATCTTATAAAATAGAAAAATATTGATTTTTTATTCTCAAATTGCAGTATATTTTGTTTGTATGTTTTAGGTGTAACATTGACACTTTCTACAAATATTGATGGAAAGAACTTTGGTTCTGGAGGACATAAGATTGGTTTTGCATTAAACCTTGAAGCTTAGATGTGAAGTACAGACATAAAGGACTTGACCCACAGAATTATTTAATGACCTTCGTGTCATAAAGACAGCATCACTTTACATGCTTCAAATAAAGTATTGCCTATTATTTGTAGATAGGTTTGTCCCAAAATTGATGCCACGAAATATCATGCATCTTTTAAACTTAGTTGAAGGGATATTAGTTTAAAACATACACAAATACAGTTTAAAAATACTATCAGTATCTTCTTCTCCTTCTTCTACTATCAATATGATTTACAATTATTGGCGAAAAACAGAAGTGCATTATTACTTTCCTTCGAAATTTTTTTACACTTAATATGGTGCAGCTTGCCAATTCTTGTTGAAAGTGTTCAATTATATAATGAAACCGAAGATTCATTTAACGTAACATGAAAAGAAATACGCAGATACTGAACAAAGTGAATTGAAGATACTAATGAAGATAAAATAAAAAAAGAAAATTATTTAAATTCTTCTGGTAAAATATTTAAAAAAAAGGAATAATAAATATTATCACTTTATGAAGTGTTAGCAAACTTTATTGTTAATCCCGAAAAAAGAATTCACAGGATACTTCACGTATGTTCTTATAATTATATAGATAATGTTAATGATTGGATTTATTGTAAGAATCCTTGCACTTAATGTTGTATAAAATAAATAGCTATGTACAGGGACTTGGGACTAAATGATATCAACAGAAGATTCATTCCTGCTTACATTAGAATTGAGACCTATGGTAAAATCCGTATTTGATTATGAAGACGATATTCCAATAATTTTGTGTCTTACTATAAATATATCACATTTTTAAAACAACACGATATGAAGAAATAAATGCTTTTAGTTACAAACAATTCCACAGTCCTATTTTATGTAGTGAATACCATGAACGAGATTTGTACTCATAATGTGTTATTGTCTTACACATCATTAATTGTTAAACATCGAGTAAAATCGGAATTTAGCTTCGACCAGTTACTAAAATAAAGAAGAATTTATTCTATATGGTGTGAGAATACTTTATTTTATTTACAACAAAAAGTTACATTAGTTTCTTACTTAAAATATCTTTCGTGCATATTCTTAATGACAATTTTAAATCAAGCTTTTACGAGGTATCCATTAAGAAACTTTTACATGATTTCTTAGACATTTTATTTTTTTACTTTTTATAATAGTAAATTACTTGCAGTAAACCCGAAAATGGTCTTGTAAATTTTTTAAATATTTATATTTTTATATCATGAAAAAGAAATGAAAATTTGTTTATCATAAAAAAATGCTTTTATGCATATTTATAGAAAATCAGTAACGAGTATGTTAAATGTGAGATCTTATGAGAGAGCTTATAATGTACAAGCTTCATTACAATATTATGGTAATGATTCTTATTGCCTCCAAATTTTTTTTAATAATGTATTTAACAAATGAATGTTCAATGTGTAAGTGTTTATTTAATATTAAAAAGAATTTACATTAATGTACCATTTGATCTTCCATTGCTTTTGCTATCCATTCTGGTTCAGTCTGAGTGATCTTTTCTATTATTTGGTTCACTTGATAGCAAAGTGATTGTATTTGTTTATCCCACGTTGGTAAAGTTTCACGTGCTGTATATAAAATAAAATTAGCGCGAGAAAATATTTTATTAAAAAAAATTGAATGTCTATTTAAACTTACTTTCGAAATGTACAATAGAATCAATTTGATCAATGTATCCATTCATCCGACCTTCTGTGATCATTTGGCTAGCAATTTTCTCTGCCTTCGTTGGTGGGATTTCCAATAAAGCACCCAATTCTTCGAATGTTATGTTATTATATAATTTACTAGCAGATAATAAGTTATGTTCTATAACAGCACGGTCAAGAATTGTTGATCCTAATCCATCGATTGTACATGCTTTTTGGTGAGGTTGCAACAAGGCTTCAAATTCTTGTAATTCAGATCGTCTAATGATACGATCCAAGTACATCTTTTCAAGAATCGAATAAGCAGGAAGTTGTTGACAGCGTTCATCTTTAAACAAGGTAGCCAACATACGACTTCTTTGTTGTCCTAAGTTAGTAATTGTGTTTATTATTTCTCTATAATTAAAATTTAAATAGTAAACTTTGGCTAATTACCTGCTGAAGCTAGTACTGTACAAATTAATGCATTTCTAAGAGCAGTCATTCGTTCATCTTCGTGTATAATAGTTCTATATGATAATTCATTATATCTTTGAGCTGCTTCAATAAACTTTCTTCTGTAATCTAATACTCTAGCATAACAAACTTTGTAATAAATTTGCAACCGTTCATTTTTGGATTCAGCCTAGGAAAAATAAGAAATTAACTGTTATTAAATATAAAATATATTGATCAAAAATTTAATTGATTAATTCATACTTGTAAAAGAGATGCTCTATTTATAAATGCTTCAGCTTGTACAGGATCATCATCCTCTAAGTACAGTCGTGCAATTTTAAGGTAAGTTTCAAGTTTATAGTCAACTGTGTATTGCCTAAAGATAATTATAATTAATATGAAAACACATAAAAAATAACCTCTTGTCGATTTAATGAAAGATATTATTATTTACTTTTGTCCCGTCTCTAATGGTATTCCAACTAAAACATTAGCTGCTTCCCTCCAGTTTTGATTACGTTCATAAATATCTGCTAAATGTTGTCTTATGCTAGCAACTTGTTCTTCAAAGGAGATGACGCGTGGTTGAATCTCAACGATTAAAATATTTGATTATAGTCTATACTATTAATTATTGATTTTATACCTTAACAATTAAGAGATTAAAAATATTTAGAGAAAATATCTTACTTTATCCAATGTATAATGTGAAACAGCCTTTGATATTTCATCGGGCAAATACAACAAACGAGAACTGACATCTGTTAAAATTTGTCTTGAAATGACCAAACTAACATATTCATTTACAACTGCAAAATAAAATATTACATGTCAATAGTATAATATCATAAAATACAAAAATAACAACATAAATACTTATAAACAAATTATTATTTAAATGTACGTTGTATAGACAAAAAAAATTGTGGTAAGACTATGTATACCAAACACAAATACCTGTACTTTTGTAACACACGAAATAACACTTCATAAATTAATATTATTATACTAGTTTTTAGTAGACACATTTACATATATTCATTACGAGATAACGTATTTCTAAAAACAGAACTAACATACTTGCTTCAATAAATATCTTTAAGGCATCAACCAGTTCTTCGCCGGACGATAATATTATTGAATCTAAAATCGCTCGATACCTGTAAGTACCATAGTTTATATCGAATATTCAGAAAAATATATGTTCAGTCCTATTTTTTAAGCTTACTTTTCCGCTTGATCTTTATGGGAACCACCAGAATACGCTAAATTCGTGAGTTGTTGACGTACAGCAGCTGCCGTCGCCACCATCTTTTCTATATGAATAACCCAAGATTAGTTTTACATGTATCGCAATCATGAACTATGCATGAAAACTGAGCAGTAAAAATGATACAGAAACGCAGTTTCGAACGAAAATAAGTATCACAATATCTTATATAACGATAATAAAAATTAATTTTTTAGATTAATTTCTTTATCAATAAAATTAACTATTCTATTATTTAAGCAGACTTCTATGTTTTAGGTAATTTGGGTAGAAGTAACGTTTGTATTACATGTATGAACGCATAGTTTCTAATACATACGTCACATTCTGTAGAAGCGCAAGATATAATACTTCGTATCATGAAATTATTATTCAAGTCACTGATTCTGTAAAAATAGATTAAAGGTGGCGCTTTTTGTATCAACATTGAAATTTATTGTCGACAAACTACATATGTATAAATGTTCCTCGGCTCGGTAAGAACGTAATCTATGTGCATTCGCATGCAAATTGTACAAATGAATACGAAGGTTATTGTTCTTACATTTAAAGAGTAACCAAATCGTTAGAAAATAATTTTTAAATGTAAACGTAATAATAAATTATTGTAGCGTGTATGTTATTAAGTATCTATAGTAGATTATATTTTTGTTTAAATTAGTAGGGCATATAAAGTTTTTCATCAAATATTATATTTGAAAGATGTATTACGGAGGATAATACTGGAAGATACATATATAATTTGGAAGAATAATATATTACATATAATATTAATCATTTATATATTTTATATATTATTTTATATATTAATAATTGTAGATGTTTATCATCAAGTGTATTACATATTATCTTTTTTTAAAAGTATAAATACAATTTACATTATTAAGTTGCAAAATATAATTTTATTTTTTATTTTATTTTACTATAATGTGTGGTTTCATCATTTATAAGCACAAAACCTAATGAATGAGGAAACACAATTTGTTACATTTGAATTTCAAATTTATCCTCCAATGTGCATTTTCTCAATGTATATGTACAACCTGCAAACTCACTTTAAAGAACTTTCTATTGTTTTTATACCTATTATTTGAAAATACACAATGTAAATAGAAATTAAACATTAAAATTTTTCTTTCACTTCCTTATCTTATCTATAGCGTTTTATCGATTGTTCTAATAAAATACTAGTTGATACCGTTATACTGTTCTATATTATTAATCATTCACAATTGTTATTAAGAAAGAATACAACTTAATGATGCATAATTCTGATTAAGAAATACAGTTTAACATAAAAATTAAATGGAACACTAATTATGGAAACTGAAATTTTGAATAACTATTATCCAAATTTAATGAACTTATATATACTAAAGAATATTCTGCTAATGTGTTGCATTCAAAATGTTCGAGTTTTTGGAACACTTGCTTTTTTATTGGCTACAGAGGGCGCTTAAGGCTGACGTGTTTGAGCCGCGGAAGAGCGAAAATGGCGAAATCGAAATTTGCAAAGTGCGCGAAAATATTGTTCAGTATTGGCATAATATTTAGTCAATAAAGTTGATGTTTGATGAACTGTATACAAAAAATAGACAATTTTATAAGAGTTAAAGAACCTATCATTCTTACATTCATTTGAGATTTTAATACCAAACGACCTTTGGGTCTGTTTGTACACAGCGGTGCGTAGTGCACTGTGGGACAGCAATGGTGGGCGCGTGATTTTGAACAAATTGGAGCTATCAAGGAAACACCCAGGTAAGTGTTAGAAATCTGATTAAATGAATTGTGAGACAGTTTGAATGGAATTTAAATTCATGAAATACGTATTAACAACTTTTTCAAATATACTATTGTAATTAAAATAAGCTTCGTGGCACGCCCCCACCCAACACTGTACGTACCTGATATGAACTGATAAGTTATAGGTTAAGTTCAATTTTGTACGATTATAAAGTGAAAACTGATAGGAACCTTGTTTTTTATTACTTTTTGATATCTCATGTGATTCCTTTTTTAACATGCTTTAATGTCGAATTGATTTGGACTAATTAAGATCTTTAGAATGCAGGCAAAAGTTCAGTTCATGGAAAATGGCGCGTTCGAGTAATAAATGGCGCTAATGTTCCTAAGTAGACTATCCTTCGAATTTTTCTTCATTATTCAAATTTTATTGTTCGAATTTTCAAAAGTTTGAATCTTACTCAATCTATGTATTGTTGGTTGCATACTCAGGCAATCCCATTGCTCCTTGTATCTATGGAGTGAATTTGTGCTTCCTAAAGATTTGAATTTTTGAATTTTTAAATCCTCACTGATTTATTTCGTTTTTACGTCATTTCGTAAATCGTTTAATATTTTACCGTTGATATACAATACTTTATTTTCACACATATGTTTTCGATATTTCGTGCTTTATGGAAAGACCATTTATGATACTTAAATTTCTAACCTTCATACCTATGAAGTACTATGTATCATGCAATATTTACACATCTGAAAAATTAAATTTTACTATGAATAGATTCATTTTAAGCATTACACAGTATATGTGATGTAAAAACATTAAATAATGACAGTTTCAATTGAAGTGTAGTATTCAATATTTTGTAGTAAAATGAAGTAACACACAAGTTTAAGGATCGTATGTTAGATTTGTATTTAGTTATGTAATTATTTTTGCGAAGAAAACAAAGATGAAATACAGAAACAAACTAAAACAAATTTTATAAATTATATTATACCTTTGTATACCTTTGTATAATATAATTTTATATAATACATCACAGAGTAACATGCTTTAAGAAATTAATATTAATAAATATGTTTTATATAACTGATAATTGTAAATGAGTACGTTTCTGTAATATATAATATTTCATCTAGGAGCGTAATCATGTCTGTAAATAAGGGGCAGAATGCTAGAGCTTTGGTTGAACCGCTTGCTCTTGACTCACGTACACTTGGCGATGGAGATTTGAGTGCGTTGAGTTTATCGCATAGTAATGAACAATATTCATCCAATGACTTTGAAGCATTTGCAAATATCCAAGCTGAATTAGAATGTATGAATGCGGAAGAAGTAATGACAACAGATGAAGAACATATAATAATTGAGCGTAATATTGAGGCTGAAACAATTGTACCTGATGTGGAAATGACTGAAGTTTCTGACCAAGCTCAAGAAGAACATATTATCTATACAACAGCAAATCAAAATAATCAAAATATTGTATTCCAAACGAAACCAACATTGCAAAGGCTTCCAGCATCTACAGTACAGGTATGAATGTATAATTAAAACATATAAAATGAAAATTGGAATTATTTATTTTAATACTACTTTATGATATTGTAATAGGTAAAATCAAATGTTGGATCGGCAACACAAAGTCAGTCTATTATGATAGTTTCTCCAGCTGGTGGGCAAGGCACTAGCCAAATTTTAAAAATTTCACATCCATCAACAGCATCAGCAGGACAGTTGCAATCGCTAGCACAGACTCTTATAGCAAAGTCTGCAGATGGTAATATAGTTCAATTAAGATCAGCACAACCTAGTAAACCGGTAATGGCAACTAGCCATTCAGGAAACATTACATTAGGAAATGTTCAGAATGCGAAGACAGTTCAATCAGCTGTAAAACGAACAGCGCAAAGTACTCAGCAAAACCGAAATGTAAGATATTCATTCATATCATTATTTGAACAGATCTTGTACATTGATCTTTTAAATGAAAAATACAATGTATTTTACAATTTTATTTTAGGTATATACAAAAATGATATTAGCTGGTAATCAAACACAATCAGGACAAGTTCTCATAACTAGTTCACAGAATGAAAGTCAACAAACACAAGCAATAAAATTTTTAAATAATACTGTTTCAAGTCAAGATATTACAAGTCCAACAAAAACTATAACATTGGCACAGGCGCAACAAATGGGATTACTTTCTACTAATAAAGTTCAACATATTTTACCTTCGTCACCGCAAAAACAAGTGAGTATAGAAACATATTGATTCATAATAGATTGTAAAAACTAAGCTATACATTAATCAAAGTATAATAATTTATTAAATCTAATACATAAATGTTGATATTTCTTAAAGGGGATAATTGTAAATAAATTAGTGCAATCTTCAAGTACTCAGCCTTCTAAAGTAACTATAGTTCCAAGCAGTACAATCAAATCTCCTACAAAAATATTACCTGCTCCAACATTGGGTTCCCAAATTAAAACTTCTGCTATATCAAATCAGCAATCTACATTTTCCTCTAATAATAAACCATCTGTACAACAGAGTCCACAGAAAGTGATTATACGTCAGGTTAGTTGTATTATCTGTCTTCTAATATATAAGTAATTTTTTTATATTTCTTTGATTACCTTTGTATCTGGCTCTCACAATATTTTATAGAGCTCTTTAAAACCTGGTACTGTGCTTGGGAGTGGACAAGTCATTAGAATACCAGCTAATCAAAATATTGTAACTGGATCTAATCAAGTACATCAAATACAAATGCCTGGAAGACAAGTAATACAACATTTTATTATTTTTCGTTTACCCATAAAGTAAATTATTATAAATAACAAATTCAATTGTTTCAAGGTGCAATATGTAAGATTAGTTAGTACTCCATCTTCGGGGACTACAAATGTTGTTACTGTAGGTAAGACGAAGTCGCAAACAACTTTGCAAACTGTTGGTGTTAGTCAGAAAATTGGAGGTCAGCAACAAATTGTTAAGGTTTGTGCAACTTGTAATAAAAATATGGTTGTTAGAAATTTTTGATATACGATCTTTTTTCTTCAATTATGATACAGGTAGTTCCATTAAATACTAGTAACCAGTCATTAAGGACAGTTGCACCTAAGGCTACATTAACGAGTAGTGGGCAAAGGTTATTAATTCCTGCAACTGCTACAGTAGGTAATCAATCGAAAAATACGGTAGCTATTCCAGCATCAGCTTTGAGTCAATTAGCATCTGGACAGGCAGTACTTTCAACCAATTCAAACGTGGGAAACATTGTGGTTCTACCAGCTCAATACATTCAACAACAGGTGCAGTAGATTATATACATAATTAAGAAAAAAAGTGAATGAAATAAAAATAAGTTACAACTTCACTCATTGCAATTGGTAAAAATGTACGTTGTGATTCATTAATTTCCAATAGACGTCAGATGAAGTGAAACTGAAATCTCAACAAGCTACACCCAGTCTATTGAGCAATTCACAAAGTTTGCAAACCTCGACAGGAAATTTATCAGTAGGATCTGTTATAGAAAGTAAAGGTTCTCAGAGATCCTACACCAGTGTTGAGCCTAATGGTATTAGGCCAAGGAAACCATGCAATTGTACTAAATCACAATGTCTTAAACTGTAAGTATTTGATATACTATCATTGTTGAATTTGAATCTTAAAATAATCGATTTATTATACTTATTATTATTATAATGCACCTTTCAAAAATTGAGCATCAATTCTTTACTTTTTTGTTATATAAATGGAGAAACGACAACCTAGAACGATAATGTATCTTTAATTAAAAGATTTTAATATAAATTAAGAGTTAATTGCTACAGTAGCGAGTAAACGTTTTATAATTGCATTAATAATCGAAAAATAGTGAATTATGAACATACTTTGTGATAGATATTGTGATTGTTTTGCGAATGGAGAGTTTTGTCATATGTGCAACTGCAATAATTGTTCTAACAATCTTGGAAATGAAGAAGAGAGACAACGTGCTATCAAGTCTTGTTTGGAACGTAATCCAAATGCATTTCGTCCGAAAATTGGTAAAGGTCGTGAAACTGGTGATGATATACGTAGACACAATAAAGGCTGTAACTGTAAACGCAGTGGATGTTTAAAAAATTATTGTGAATGTTATGAGGTACGCATACACATATACGCACAAGAGAGTTTTCTAATAGTTTTCTAAACTTCTATTCTAAAATATTTTTAGGCTAAAATTCCTTGTTCCGCTAATTGTAAATGTATAGGATGCCGTAACGTAGAAGAACCGAATTTAGAAAAGAAATCTTTGAAAGATCTTGCAGAAGCAGCTGAAGTTAGGACGGCGCAACTCACATTGAATAAAGCAAAACTGCAATTATCTGAAATGGCTTTTAGACCACCCGCTACCTCTAATACAGGCGCAAGGTATATAGTTGACAATAATAATTGACACAGTTGAATTTTTTAATTATTAATTGACATAATTAAGCACTAATGGGTCATGTCATATGATAAAATTACTTACTTATTAACCCTCGGATGACCGACTATCTAGCAATGGCACGGGGATCAGACGCTGAATCATTTATGATCCATGTTAAAGTTCTCATAATCTGTACTTTAGATTTAATTTTCCCATTAAAATGATATTTTATTATATTATGATTGTTAGATAATACTACAATAGAATAAATGAAAAAAAGGCGAAACTCAGAAAGATAGACAGTATGTAGGTTCGAGGGTTAATTATAGTAAAATGGCCTAATTTTGAACGTGAAGCTTCGTTATGGCTTTTTTAATTAAATACATATCGCCCTTTTTAATTTTGTAAATACAATATTTTTAATTTTATATGTTTAATAAATACTTCCTTTGCAGACAACCATTCAACTTCTTGACTGACAAAGTAGTTGAAATAACGTGTCAATGTTTAATGGCTCAAGCCGATGAAGCAGAACGAAACATGTTTGATGATGAAACATCTCAAAGATTAATAATTGAAGAATTCGGTCGGTGTTTGAAAGAAATCATCGAATCAGCTCATAAAGCTGAAGCTACCTAGCAGGTACATTTTGAGAAACATAACAATAAGAATTTACGATTTATGCGAACGTATTCTGAAATAAGAAATTTAGACACATTGATTATCGGTACCTCCTAATCTAATAATTGGACATAAATCTTGCAAAATTGCAAGCAGAAGTGTTATATACCAAAGATAATGGTAAAAATAGTAGTACGTAATACATTCAACCGGTTATTACTTTCGCTAGATGGGATTTAAAGAAAACTATATTTTCATGTGTCTATTGTTTATAATTATAAATCATATTTCTTATAATGCAGCTTACGATTAAGTAACTTATGAATAAAGCTTCTTATCTTCGGGTTTATCAAAAATATGATTAGTAATTATTTTAACTTACAATGCTATAAATGTTTTCTTGCTATGTATTAGTTTATGCAATGAAAAAAAATATAGAACCGACACGGTTGAATGTAATATGACATTAAAATGTTTCAACGATATTAAAATTTGTAACGCGTGTATAAAATTAAGCAATGTAGAACATTTTTATACATTTACTATTCATCTTGAAATATTAATATCTGAGAAGCATCTGTTAAAGCCCTTGTATACCATAACATGCCCCGAGACAAGCAATGAATTTTAATCTTTTTCACTTTTTGTATAATATATTCGTATGTTTATATAGTACAAGTATTGAAAAAGACTCAAACTTATTACTTATCTCGAGCCATGCACCGAGACACATCTCATCGTGTGTTAGGGGCCTTTGCACTTGATTTTTTAGTTACTTATTTCTATTACTATCAACATACAACAATCTTGTTTTAATGCAAAATTTATATGTCTGTAGTATACTCTGCACGGCAAAGAATTTTTACAAAGTGTCGGTAATATTTTATTTTTTATTTAAAATGATGCAAATCATGAGTGCAAAAGTCCAAGAGATCAAATTTTTTGGATTAAGTAAATTATGGTTACGTTAGATTATTTTCTATCATACGTTGATTTTATCTATTTTGAGGTATAAATCTGAAATCAATTGGTCTTTTTTCTGTGCAAATATTTTACTATTTATATTTCAAAGATGAGAGTGATTATAGATAGTAAAAAATATTAAAACAATTGATTAGGCAATTACCATTGTCAGCATAAAAAAGATTGAGGTATTCGAAAAAAAAAATTTCGAAAATCGTTTGTAAATGACAATTGCATTTTTCTGATTTTCTGTGTAAGAGTATTTAAAGTTTGATTTTCATTTGTAATTTGTGATGTTAGATTTATCTTTGATGAAAGTTGAGGAACCTTTATACTTATAATTTATATGTGACCTAAAGAGTTTCTATAAAAAGGGGGATTATTAAATGTTTAAAGTGAAAATTGTCATTTTCCATGTAGTATTTCATACGTTTCCTTATTAATTCGATTGCGATATATAATATCGCAAACATTCTAATTCGAAGATAATTACATTTTTTGTTATGCAATATGTTCAGTTCATTCGTGTATATACACGTTATTTCCTTAACTACTAAAAATACAAGAAGTGTTTCATATGAAAGTTATTTAATTTTACGGGGGAAACTTATGAGGAAAAGTATAAAACAAACCGAAATACATTATTTAGTGACTTCTATGAAATCGAATAACTTTCATATTTTTCATGTGTTCGATAGTTTAGAAAATAATAAGATGTACACAAATAAATAAGACATATTATATGTTGGAATGCGCTCGTTACATTCAAGTTTACATCACTTTATATTTCATTGTATATTGTTTATGTACTTTAGTACACATGCAATTCTAAATATCACTTGTTATTTAATTAGCACTACAATGAATGGCATTGCAGTGAAAATGAAAAGATCAACGATATAATTATTTAATATATTAACTTCATGATTGATACATACAGTTGCGTAAATTTCTTTTTCATTATGCACTGAATAAATTATCACTGCAGTAGTACCACTATTTGTCTGCCATTAGGGGTGATGAAATTATAACTTATATGCAGGAAATTTAATATAAAGGATAGAAAATTTATATATTACAAATAGGGCTGTATAAGGACAAATGTAATATAGAAGTACAAATATAAATATATATTATATATTCGTAAAATTCGTACTTCAAAATTTATTTTAAGTATACAAATTGTACAGATTATATATACCAATTCATAACATAATAACATAGTGAAAATTGTGAATTGATTATATAATTTTACGGCACTGTATCAAATTTCATATATTAAAAAGAAAAATTATTTCGATAGTGAAAACATTAATTACTTGTTACATGTCATTTGCATAGCATGTTAAATGATAGAAATATAGTTTAAATTAGTGCTAAATAATTTTACAAAGATGCTGATGTATATGTATAATGAATTGCTGATATGTACAGATAATCATGTATTTCTAGGTATACCTTTGTGACTTGTCTTCTGTACATAGAAAAAATCTGATATCACAAAGTTAAGTAAGTAATTTATTTCTTTTCTTAGAAAAAAGTATTTAAAGAACTACAGAGTTTCATAATTTCATTGTACAAGTAATATGTAAAAAGTTTTAATTGATTTATAAATTCGTGTGAAATGTAAATAGGGAGTACATAAAGTAATAAAATATTCATTACATCTTGTTTGATATCAGATTTTTCAAAATGGTGGTTTAATAACACTAAAATGTACTAATAAAGGAAATATATATGTATATACATGTCGAACATGTGTACCTTTCAATAAATTTTTGTGTTTATATTGTACACGAGCAGTTTATTGATGTATGTACGAAAACGTTTTTTTTTATGTAATCTTAAAATTTTACTATTTTCTTAGATTTCTTTTTCTCTTCTATGTGAACATTTTTTTTACTTCCTTCTAATGATTCGATATTACCATCACCAATTGTATTTACTGTAATTGTATTTTCTTCTTTTTCTTTAATTAAATCTGGGCAATCTTTCTTTAAATGTGTCACATCACCGCACACTTTGCAACTACCTCCTTGAGGGTAAATACCTTTAGGGTTATCAGGACATTGCTTAGCAATATGCCCTTGTTCTCGACAAATGAAACAAGTCGCGTACCTAAATTCCGTTGGTTTAGACACTTTACATTCAAAATGTGTATGTTCCGTTGATCCACATTTGAAGCAGATTCCAGTACCTGCTTGCTCGGATCCAAGTTCAGGACAATCAGACAAATTATGTCCTGCTTTACGACAGTGAAAACAAACACATTTTCTGATTCTTGCTAATGCTTTCTCAGCTTTTCTCCTTTCTAATTTCATTGCTATATCTACTTCTTTTTTTGGGATACCTACAAAAATGCATAAAATACAGTATAATATATTACATATATGTATAGTTGGTTACAATCATTACATACATACAAGGTTACATACCTTTCATAACCATTTTTTGTTTCAGTTCACGTAATCTATCTGCATCATCTTTTTTTACTGGAAAACCATCAAATTTCACAATTTCTATTTCCATACCATTGATCATTACTTTTGTTGAACCTGTATCTGGCTTTCTTCGTTTGTGTTCTTTGTCATCTCGAACTTTAGGTTTCTTGTTGTTGTTTTGACTGTTTTTAATCTTTTTTCTAGGAAATTGATTTACATCAAATTTGACATTGTTTGATCTGTTTATATCTTTCTTAGCATATTTTTGTGTTACATTACTGTTCGCATTATTTTTACTATTTTTATTATCCCAACTGATTGCATTGTCATTATTACTTTCAGAATCAATTGCTGTTTTCTGTTGTTTATCAACTGTTACATTTGATTTAATTTTGTTGATTTGTGAAATATCACTACTGTTTATTGATGTTTTGAGAAAATTATGATCATTATGTTTATTTCCTTTTTTTTTCTTATTTACTTTAGTATATTTTATATTTGCTTCATTCTGTTCAATATTATCTTGTTTAGAAGTACTATTATTTTGCAGATTATCATTTAATTTATCTACCAAATTTTTATCTTTTTTATGCTTTTTAACTTTGACATCTACTGCAATTTCACTACCTTTGTTTAAGTTTCTCTTTAAAGATGAGATTTTTTTAGAGTTAACATTACTTTCATCAGTTTCATTTTGATTAAACGAATCAGGTTTATCTAAAGATGTTGTCTTTTTCTTTTTAATTTTCTTTGTTTTCGCATTATCATTTCTGATTGATGTATTTTCTTCAAATTCTGCCCAGTCATTATTAACATTTCCCACATCACAATAAAATACATCTTCATTATCCTGCAATAACTCTTTTGCGGACTTATTTCTTTCTGTATGTCTCTGCTGCCTAGACGAATTTTCATCTAACTGTTGCTTCAATATATACCAAGGTGTAGCTTCATTTGGTACTTTTTCATTTGATGATTTTGAACCCTTTGCTCTTGCATACCGAGTCATGTTCTGAAAAGAATAATAAACATTTCTATTTTTTACTTCAGAATAAATACTATTGTTAAATTATTTAATCTTTAGATTAACAACAATTATACATTAAAACTATTTTTTCATCGTTCTGCTGAAAACTTTAAAATTTAATATGTTGATTTATTACATTTTTCTTTTAAATTTTAATTTATATAATTTATATTATTCAAAATAGTAATAAAAACTGTTTGCTACATGTCAAATAACCTTACTTCTTTACACGTGATAGTCAACGCGTCCGTGATAATAAATAGCCCATTTATAATGAGATATTCTAGACTGCATCGACATTCTGCTTTTTTTGAACTATCCATTACTATCATTGCTCGGTAAAGAAGGGTTAAAATGCATTATAATAATCTGCTCTATACTACTAACGAGAGATAAGATAGATTGTCAACAGCCGGAGATTATGTGACTCCCTTACCATTTTCATATCACACGTTCAAGAATTCGCGACAAATAGCTTTGTGCTATCGAGGCTGTCCCATTTTAGGTAAAGGTGGCCGATATTAGTCGCGATATCTTTGACCACGCCATCGAAAATAATGCCTCGTTTAACCATTTGCACTTGATGATATTGTAGGAATCTTATGTTTGCAATGTTAACTTAATAAAACTTTTACTTTTAAAATATTTAAATTACTTTGAATGGAAACATGTATATTTCACACATATCCCAAAAGTATGGAAGAATTTGAGCTCAACCTGTTTCACAATAATGCGTTAACAATTTGTTACATAGATACGAAATATTTGTATTTTTTCTTTACATAAAAATACATGCTACATATTTTACTCATTACTCATTACTCATTACTAAATTTAAAAAATTTCAATATTTTTGATTCTTATTCCTATCACTTACAGCGCTGCCATGCAAAACTAGCCATAATCGATATGACAGGGTATGTCATGGAAATAGTAAGGGGTATTAATATTCCCGAGAGTATGTGAATAAAATTTTACATTGCATGTAATGTTTATCCTATAATGTGGTAAAACATTTGTAACAGAAATGAAATATATAGTTAATTCGATTCCTACTAACGAGCTTAAAATCTTGTATTATCGGTAATATCGAGCGCGATACCGAAATAGTGTCGATAATTCAGAACTGTGAAAAGAATATCCCATTACACGAGACGTCTAGACGCATTTTAAATCTATGTCATAAGCACGCTTGTGGTCCGTTGATAGTAAACATTGAAGGAGAGATTGTGTTGTTACATTGTATTTTTGTGAAATCATACAAGAAGAAGTATGGCTAATCCAAATTTAACAGATATGACAGAAGAAGATGCGGCTGATTTGCAATTTCCCAAAGGTACGTTTTATAGGTTAAGATGATAATTTTCATATTGATTCTAACCTAACTTTTATGACGTTTGTCATTCGGTAAGAAATTTAATTGAAGAATACACGTGGAACTTCAGAATCGAATTTTCAATTAATTTTGCGGTATGGCCTTAAGTAACGATGTTCCTCTTTCAGACTGCTCATCGAGTAGAACAGAAAATATCGAGAATGATATAGAACTCGACGTGTCAGTCGTGAAGGATGAAATCATTACTTCAGACCCAACATGCCGCGTATGCAAATCTGCTTTGACGGAGCCTTACATTCGTTGTGCGGTGTGTAACAACACGGATTTGTGTCCTTCTTGTTTCTCCAGTGGATCTGAAATTGATGATCATAATAATGATCATGATTATATTATTATAAAGAATGAATTCCCTTTGATCCATGGAAGTGGTTGGACTGCTAAGCAAGAATTAGAATTTCTTGATGTCTTACAGGAATGTGGTTTTGGAAATTGGGAAGACATTTCAAAAAGAATGCAAGGAAAGTCAGCTGAAGAATGCAAAAATCATTATATTCAGCATTATATCGATAATCAAAGTATACCTGGTTTGCCAAAAATTAAAGAAACAAAAATAAGTTTATTTGGTTGTGATTCAATACCTTATTTACATAAATTGCAAGATTTGGAAGAGCCACCGAGATTTGCACCTAATACTCTTAATTGCAAGCTTTTGGCAGGTTATAATCCAGCAAGGTCAGATTTTGAAGTAAATTTTGACAATCACGCAGAATTATTAATTTCTGATTTGAATTATAATGAATTTGAATCAAATGATAATTATGAGCTAGGAAAAGCATTACAAATAGCTATAGTGCAAGCATATAATAATCGATTGAAAGAACGTATGAGAAGGAGAAAAATTATACGTAACCATGGTTTGATTGCATTTAGGAGAACTATATCTTGGATACAAAGATATGAATGCACAATCACTAGAATACTTGCAGAAAGATTATTAATTTTTATGCAATTAATAAATGGTATAGAGTTTGACTTCTTAATGGAAGGATTGCATCGTGTGGGTGAACTTAAGAACTATTTAAATAAACTCTTTGAGTTTCGTAATAATGGTATAAAACATTTCCACAGTGTTGTGATGTTTCAAAAACTAAGTAAACTTAGGCAAGAAAATGAAAGAGAAAGAAAGCAATATTTGAATAATCCAGAATATAGTTGGAAGTCTATATTGCCTGGTTGTAACATTAATTTAACTAATTCAATATCGAATACAATTTCACAACGAAAGACAGCGCCACCGCTTGCAATAAAAGGTCTTCCTGGATATGAAAAGCTTACTGCTGTTGAAAGAGAACTTTGTTCAGTTACGCGTATAGTTCCTGCTAACTACTTAGATTTTAAGCAACTTTTGATAGGGGAGAATAAAAAGAATGGTTATCTTAGGTTAGCACAAGCTAGAGTTTTGCTTAAAATTGATGTAAATAAAACACGTAAAATCTATGATTTTCTTACAGAACAAGGATATATAAATAAACCAAGTCAATGACATACATTTAATTAAAATAGTAAAAATATTTGAGTTTTACGAATATTTCATACTTTGTGTGTAATGCCAGTATTGTGATATTAAATGTTAAGATTTGTACCTATTAGCCCTTGAGAAAATACAGAATTTATATAATTGACTGAAACTAATAACACGAGTGTGCACTATAGCTCATAAGTGCTTACCCCTGTAATTGTCTTCTTTACAATAAAGATTATACAACTCCTTATAAATCAGTTTGATTTTTATACACTTAAGTACGAGCTATAGTGCATGTAATACTGTACAAATATTCTAACAATTAATAATATTATACGACTATTCAAGCATAAATTATATGTACATACGTGTGTAGCTTGTTATTTACATTTTATACAATTTTTAATGACATGCATAATGAATTGTATTTTATAATGAGTCACGTAAATAAAATATATTTGAACATTTTTTTTTGGTGGTAATAATTATTTTAAAAAATGATCCTGTAATGAGTTTACCGATAATAAATTAAGAAAAGTAGCATGTGTGAATCTATTTTTGTTCTTAGAGTTTGAAAATGCAGAGACGCTATTAATCTCGGAAGTTTGGATGTTATTGGAACATAGAAAAGCACAAAATGAGTCAGCTGAAGAAGAACAAGAATTTTCCGAAGTTTTTATGAAGAGTTTAACCTACACGAATCGGTTTAAAAGATTTAAAAACAAGGAAACCATCGCCGCAGTTCGAAAGTGAGTGTATTTTATATAATAATGTGACTGCTTCTCCAATACGTCAAAGTTTTACAATAGTTCATTAAAAATTGTTTCTTTTTTTCTAGTTTGCTTATGCAGAAGAAGCTTCACAAGTTTGAACTTGCATCGCTTGCAAATCTCTGTCCTGAAACTCCGGAAGAAGCGAAAGCCTTGATTCCTAGTTTAGAGGGGCGATTAGAAGACGAAGAACTCAGAACGATATTGGATGATATACAAACGAAACGTTCTCTACAATATTAAGAAAAGTGTACATTTCCTGTAACTGCTTTGTATGCCTTTCAATAAATTACTCTTTATAGAAATATGTGATCGATAATTTCAATATTATCAAATGATATAAGCATTTTATAATTTACGTTATACTATAAATTATCAGATTCAATGGTATTTGACCTTGGTTTTTAATAGAATCTAAATGTTGAAAATTATGCTATAACCCCTTGCAGACTCTGAACGAGATATCTTACGACACGGTATTGACCATTTGAGTTTTTTGACAAGATACATGTCTCATTCAGTGTCGACTGTTTAATGCTTTTAAAGAGAATCTTACGGCTCGAGCATGTTTACATTCTTTTTCGTACATTTTTAGGTTTTATGATGCGAACTATATTCGATATCTCTTTGAAAACGTCAAATGGTCCGTATTATGTCGCGAGGTATTTCGACAAAAATGTCAAACGGCTGATATTCGTCCAGGGTCGCTAAAGAGTTAATTTTAATTTATCGCCTTCGTTGTTCTATCAATCAGTAAGAGTAAGAATCTGTTTTTCCGTTCATTTCTTGTCATAGTTAGAAATTTATATAGTAATATTTAGATCAATCTATATAGAATAAATTCTATTCTAAGTCATTGATTATCATTGAGGATTTATAAACTCAATTATATTGCAAATATAACAGTATTACAAAAATAGAATTATGAATATAATTTCTAAAAAGATTTATTCAAATGGTTGGATGAAATAAAAACGGACCCGGTTAGATCAATAGTCTCATAAATAAACATTAATTCGTACTTCCGGTTTTCGTGGAAAAGAATCAAAACAATAAATTTTAACATTTTAATTTATTTACAACTGTATCAATATCTAATTTCTATTTTGCTCATTGACCTTAATTTTTACTGCTTTTGGGAAGTCTAGAATGTTTTGCGACAATACGCCTTGTAAAGTATACTGCGCAGTTACATCATTTTGCAATTGAAAAACTAAAGAAACGTCACAAAAGAAAAGAACTAATCTTATTAACGATAACCGCGCATTACCATCGGATAATTGCATACAGTTGACTGCAGAGGAGAATGAACTCCCATTATCGCCATGTTCCACTCTTGAGCAACCGTTAAATCGTCTTTGATCGTTTTCTTTTATCTGTTTCTGCGGGGGAAATGAAATGCACGATAAGAATCAATGGCGAGGCTCTGTAATTTGTTGTGTGGCATTTACGCAATAATGAACACTTGCGTTTTGTAAGATTAATCTTTAGGTTGGTTCGAAGGATTTTCTTGATGCACGAGTATTAACAGTTTGTGGATTTAAAATTATATTGAACTGCTGCTTCTGAAATGATTTGAGAAAATTCCTTGCCAAATCTGGTTTGCGCTATTGGTAATTGCATACGCATTAATGGTATTCCAGTTAATATTAAAGGGACGATGAAAGGTCGTTAGAACATGAAATCATAATTACGTGTTTTGTGCGTGCGTGTGTACTGGCGCCTGTTGCACGTCTAATTGCAATGGAATCACGATGTGAAGTCGAGTGAATCCAGGCGCCGCACTGACGTTCTCAAATCTATGTACACTTACTAATTATACAGTAGGAACTATAAGTTTGAGACGACGAATTATTATTTTCATTCTACATATATAATACGAGAATTATTGACCTTCTTAATTTCGTAGCTTTTTTCGTACCCTTGACTTCACTTCCCAAAAATCCTCTTTATTATCCAAAAAAGTTACTTTTATACGTGTAATAAGTTAAGAAACAATTAATTAACTTGTGTTCATATTAAATATACCTTTTTTGTATTATGTAAGATTAATAGTTCTGTTTGCAATTAAGTATCCATAACATTTTATGATACATGCACGTAACATTCATAATTTAATCTTACATGCATGTATACATACTTAATACAACTATTTTTAATAAAAAGATAGGAAGTACAGAAATACTTGTAAAGAAAATATGAAAAAATAGCCAATAATAATTAGTAAGTATTTATATACCTATGCTAGACTTCTTTTGAACCCCTTCGTTAAAGGTTATCATTGAATTAATACATTCGTTATCTTTATTTGATTTAATGTAAAACGGATAACGAAAATTTTAGGATTTATGCGGAAGGAGTAACGGAGGCAAGTAAGAAACCTGTGTCATCGACATTTCTTTCAGCACTGTATGGGACGAGACGCCATCTTTAATGACTAATTCCATGCATGAATCTCATTTGATAAAATAGTTACCGGCAAGAAATCATTCGTGATTAAAACAAATTTTTTTAATCGTACATCGGATCTCCAAAAAAGGTGAAACAGCCAAATATTTTTTATGGCGGTTGCTACATTTACCGCGACTTTCGAGTTCAACGAGTTCAACCATTAACAGAATTATTCCTTATTATTTTATACGAATGTAAAATGTAGTCAACGAAACATCATATTTGTGATGGTTTATCGATTAATTACTTATTTAACTCTTCATGTACTGCTCGTGATTGGGACAGCCACTGCCAAACGACTGATACAGTTTCCCCTATTGCGTAGAGTGTATGCTTCTACTTGTAAAATTTGATAACATTAAAATTAAAGTGTACCTGGATCTCAGTATGTTTTCTTATTATTTCTTCTCTTTTAGAACAGCGTTATTTTAACAGATTGTGAATTGTTAAGCATTCGGAATCTGACAGCTGACTAATAGGCTCGCGGTAGATAAAGCGTTAACAGACATTTACAGCCGCATGTAATTTTCCGTTGTTTTCCATATTTTCATCCGTGAGTCGTCGTGGACGCCGAATTACTCGCTATTGATCGACCACCCTATAGAACGTTTTTAATCATCGCCGAAATACGAATGGTCTGCTCGGCTATTCTTGGTTTTACACGCGTTCCCCGTCTATTTACTCTATTCTTCGCCCATTTACTTTAATTGCGCCATACTATTGAGAAGAGCAACGTCGCCATGGGCGGTACACGGTAATCGTTTCTTCGATTACTCCCACGAAGAAACCTTTTAAGATAATTACAGCGCTCGTTAATCGTCTGTAAACTCGAAGAAAATACTGCCCGGTTTATCATACGGCTCGCAAATACGTGCGCCAGTAACGTGATACCAGAATCGAGTTGATTTGAATAGAAGCATTATCAGAATTACCGCAAACCGACTGTGTTTGGATATCTCAGTGGAAAGATTATCTTTGTTTCTTATTTTACTGGACATCATGGGTACTTAATGTCTTGAACAGTGTATAGGAGTGTACTTAGGCTACGCATCCTAATAATTGAACACGTAACACGTTTCTTAATCTAGAAATAAACGCGCATTCCCGCAGTATCTCAACTGCTCCTCATTGAATTTTTCTCCGCGTCCCGGGCACATCGGATACGAGAGCTCGCGACGTTACCAAGATAATAAAAGTCAAGTTACGGTTAAGTCATAACATACTTTATAGACTGCAACATTATAACCGGTGTATCATTAGTAACAAAAAAAAAGGCAACAAGTTTTAAAATGTTTGCATTATGCAAGATATGTATAGTGTACTTGCTCCAATGCATACAATAAGGTGAAATGTCGGTAAATTATTGTAATTGTAGACGAAAAGTGAAAATTTAAATGATTTAGTGAAAAAGGAAATTGACATTATTCATGACAACATAAGATAGAAACTAATGCAGTCTTATAGTTTCTTTATATATAGAAACGAAAGTAGATGGAATCAAAGGTGATTAACAATAAAATGTATAATATTCTACCATGTTTTTATCATTGAATTGTGGTTTGTTAATAAATTTAATATTTCTTCGTTCAAAGGTATTGAAAAAAGAAAAAAGTAACGAGAACAAGAAAAAGACACTTACTTCAAAAAACTAAATCATCTACAAATATCGCGGGAAACTTTTATATTTGAATACTTTATTCTCCATGGTAACAGAATTTATATTGTATATGTAGGAATTATTAAATGAAGAAATTAATTATCGTTAAATAATGAAACTGTTTATCATTTTGCAACGCATGCATCTATATCTCATGCGCGTAAATATCATCCTATATAAGACAATTTAAACCTGCTCCTAGTGTCGACAAATATTTTTAAATGATATCAATTAGTAAGCCTCATGCAAGCAATCGTAACACGGAAATAATCGCGAAGTAATTTTAGAATAACTCTTCTTCCGTTTCTCGCCTCCACTTTCGAACGATATCATTTTCCAGAAATTGCCTGGTAAATGGAAGTCTCTGGATAGTTGTATCGCGAAGAGCCGAAGCTAGAGCAGTCTCGCTGAAACACGCGAGAAGTTTGTACGCGTGTAAGGTCCAATCGATGGAATCAATTTGCATAATGTATACATGCGAAAGTACATGTTCCACAATGCTCTTCGATACTGCTGCTGGACTTGCCTGGTGGTATCGTAACCGAGGGGAAGAGGACTATTTAAATTCTTAACAGAATTTTCGTTGCAATTAATACTAAAATTACTGTATCCGCCAAAATAATAGGTTTTAGTTTTCTTATTTTCCAATTATTGACATTTTCAAAACATTCAATGTCCAAAACGATTTTGAAAATAAATACTATAACGAATATCAAAAGAAGTCGAAAAAAATGTATCGTTACAATCTTACAACGATTATATATTAACCACAATAAATTATCGGTAATTCTAGTGATAACACGTCGAATGCCGCACAATTTCATGTAGCAAAACGCACAAAATGAAAAATATGTAATATCAAATTATTTCATTAAATCGTTTTATTATTATTGCATGTTTATCTTACCGAATGTCACCACATTAAATAACATTATTTATAATATAAAAATGTTTGCAAGTAATTATCGTTTAATTGACTTAATTATAATAATTCGATTTAGTTGGGGATCAACAGTGAGCCCCATGACATTCAAGGTGTTAAGGAAGCCCGAACGTCTAATGATAGTTATATTTTACCTACATTCATAATACCTTATTGAATTTTTCATGAAATCGCGAAATTAAAACATGCTAATCAATTTTACATTGGAACATTTAATGTACGAGGTGAATTGGGATTATAGAGTGAATCGGATCGAAATGAGCGTGTAACTTACGTTTGTTATATCACAAATCATATTTACCATTTTTCATTTCTTACTTTCAAAAGAAAGATTTAATTCATTGCCCTATGACTTTTTCTCTACTACATGCGATACCACTACTTTATCATTAATAATATATTGAAAAAAAGGGAAAAAGTCCAGATATATAGTATATCTATATTTGCTCTAAACTACAATAATTAATAACAGAAATATAATATGTAATTCAAATCCGAAAGAACTTAATAATATTTATATTTGTTAAATTTTGCTTGAAACATTCACCACGAGTCTGACACGATATCATAAGGCAAGGGGTTAACAATTCTTTCTCGTTTTATATTACTAATGTTCAAGCGTACTCACTTCTTTATTGTCAAACATAAAATGATCTGATTCACCTTGGTCAACCATATGTAATATTGCATATGTGTGTGATTCCTTAAATAACAATTCTATACATACTCTTTCCTATATGCCGATTCACACGAATGTAACAGGGTATTGGTAAAGTGGCACAGAACTTAAAGGTTTCGACAGGTTTGCAGCATTTCGACGGCAACATTCATGCAAAGGACATCAACATTCTTTACTGTCATTTCCGATTCCCTTCTATTCCACGTTTCTACACCCAGCACGTGCTATGATGCATTGTTTTCATCGAGCCGCAAGAGCTTTTCAATCTTGCCCGCGTAATGAAACCACTTGGAACTGTTCCCGATTGTACAAAGAAACCGATAAAGACCCGCCTCCCACTGATTCGAATCGATTGCATAGTTTGATCAAGTACATCTGGTTCCTCATACTTTAGGAGATCGCGCCCCTGATCATAGGAGCTTGATCAATAATAAAATTGGCCGTCTTGTATCAAAAGATATTCAGTTGCAATTTAATATAGTATAATGAAAAATAAAATGAATACAATAGTAACAAATAATGAAATAGGAATTGATGAAATTGGGAAAATTATATGGATTTTATAAAATGTCGCGTATGATATTAGGAATAATATGTTGTCGTTATTCATTATTGAGTGTCATCGTAATTGTAAACGACATTTACTTTAACTGTTACACTCTAACAGTTAACTATAACTGCATAAAAACGATAACCATGTGAGAATATTTAGAACGAACGAATATGAATTTATATGAATTTTTCTTGAAACCGTGTCGTTTCAACTGATACATTCGATTTCTCAAAACTGATAAAATTCATTTCTTACTCTGTATTTAAATGAAAACCGAAATCTAAAGATAAAATTTTCGGCACAAACTTTCCAAATCACAGACCTCACAATGACAAACACTGCAAAAATATATTTCCATTTTCCCGTGGATCCGGCAAATTTGAAATACGACGATACTGTTCCAACGTTCTCTATTTCAAACGACCGGGGGAATGCATCTCGAACGGTAACACGTTCGTCATTCGAGTCACATTTCCGAGCAGCGATTCTTCGTGTAGGACAAAAAGGTGGAATGGAAAATGCTATCATTTCAGTAAACACGGATCGCGGTGCATCGGCCCTGCAAGGTAATTTGCAATCGAGCGAGGGCGCGAGTTTCGTTCGCGGTCGGCCGGGCATCGTGGTTGGCTCGCGCGCAGAGCGCGAGCGCGGCCGACCGCCGCCGAGCAAGACCGAACGCGCGAAGCGCCAGCGCTGGCTCGGCCTGAACGGAGCGCTCGGGTCAAAATATATTCAGTATATTCTAAACAAGCGCGCGACGTGCTGTCACGTTTTGTTTGTGCGCGGGGACCTGTGTCTCGCCGGGACGATATGCTAAAATATCGGCGGGGTGACATTGTACCAGTGTTTTGATCGCATTAAGAAAACCAGTGCACACACGGGGATCAGTTTGAAACTCGTTCGCGTCCCTCGGACAAACTCGAGCGTGTTTCCTCCGCGCGGTTTAATTTTTTGGAAGAGAAGGCAACAACGCGGCAGAAGACA